CCTCCTGAGTAGCTGGGATTACAGGCACGCGCCACCATGCCCAGCTAATTTTTTGTATTTTTAGTAGAGACGGGGTTTCACCATGTTGACCAGGATGGTCTCCATCTCTTGACCTCGTGATCCACCCGCCTCGGCCTCCCAAAGTGCTGGGATTACAGGCGTGAGCCACCGCGCCCGGCCCTCTTCGTACCTTTTTATGCCTGTTTAGTACTCCTTTAAAAGGATGTTTGTTTCTACTTTGGGTGAAATGGAAAAAAATAAATAAAAATAAAAGGATGTTCGTAAGTTTGTCAAACCACTTCCCTTTTGTGGGCACCTGGGTTGTTTACAGTCTTTAGACATTACAAACAGTGCTAGAAGTTACAAATAGAGCTATAGTAAATAGACTTGTATATATGTCATTTTTTTTTTTAGACGGAGTTTCGCTCTGTCGCCTAGGTTGGAGTGCAATGGTGCAACCTCAGCTCACTGCAACCTGTACCTCCGGGGTTCAGGCAATTCTCCTGCCTAAGCCTCCCAAGTAGCTGGGACTACAGGCGTCTGCCACCACACCCGGCTAACTTTTGTATTTTTAGTAGAGACGGGGTTTCACCATATTGGCCAGGCTGGTCTCAAACTCCTGACCTTGTGATCCTCCCGCCTCACCCTCCCAAAGTGCTAGGATTACAGGCATGAGCCACCGCACCCAGCCTGTCTTTTTTGTATTCTTACCAATGTATCTTGAGGAGATTCCTAGAAGTGGGATTTCCAGGTCAAAGGCTAAATGTCTATGTTAGATATTGCCAAAAATCAACTCTCTCTCCTACGCAGGCAACTGCATTGCCTCAGCAATTTATGAGAGTACCTGTTTTCCTTGCAGCCTTGCTAGCAGAGGATTTCAACAAACTTGAAATTCTGGCAGTCCGAATCTGAGGCAAAAATATTTCTCAGTGTAGTTTCAATTTGTACTTCAGTAAAAGCAAGATTGTTCTTCTTTTCAGATAGTTAAGAGCTATGTTACTTTCTCCATGAACTGTTCATATTTCTAGTCATTTTTTTTCTATAGTGCTATTTGTCTTTTGCCTTCTCTATTTTTAGAAGCTTTTTTCTTTTCTTTTTTATTTTAAATTGATTGTTCCAGAAAGTCTGGG